ATTCCCATTTCCAAAAAGAAAACTATTGTGTAAATATAAAGCACTACAAATCTTAGGTTGAGGCTGCAACCATAGCATTTGAGAAATCTTGTCCTTGCATTATCAATGGAGAACAGACAACCTACTTTGAAGAAGTTGGGGCATGGGAACCTATTCACAGGGACAGAAGGCTTGACTTCTTCGTAGAAAAGAGCCTCTCAAATGGACTCTTAGTTTATTGTTTGTTGTAAAATAGAAACTATTTTTGCCAAGTTGCATTGTCACAGCCATGAAGAAGAAACAACTGCAACCAATCTGAAGTGGCCCTGAATTACACTGGAATGGTAATTTAAGAAAAATAAGAATATGTAACAGTTACATTTATATAAATCTAAATATTAAACATTACATTAGGAACAGAATAAAACTTTGACATTCTATCACATAACACTGCTTTAGTTGGTATCAGCTACCATTCTATTGGGCAGTGTTTAATATCATCTTGTTTCAGGCGTTGTATTACTTTTCATGCATTGTCTCATTTCATTTTCACATTTCCACAAGGTAGGTATTATTATCCCCTTTTTATTGATGAAGAAATGAAGGCACACAAAAGCTGAGTTAATGCCAGAAGTCACATAGTTAGTAAACAACCCAGGTCTGACGGAAGTCCAGATTTTTCATAAACAGCATATAAACTAAAGATATCTCAAGGCTTTATAACAAGTTTGCAAAAGACCAAGTTGTTACAGTGAAAACGTTCAGAAAGCCACAGGAAAATAAACCATCATTCCAAAAATAAACTTAAGTTGTATGAGTAAAATATAAAGAATTGCCTTAGGCCAATGATATTCAACCGGTGTGCCACAGCAGGTACACTAGTGTGCCATGATAATTTTTAAAACATGCAGTACCTGACTATTTAGTCAGGGGCACTGACCTCCTTTCCCTTAGATTGTCAAAAAAAAATGACAACAGCCAACAGAACAATAACCATCCAGTGTTAAGCCTATTTTTTTGTCAGATAAGCAAAAAGTGTATTTTCTGGTGTGCTGCAGAATTGTAGTAATTATTTTATGTGCGCCATGACGTGAAAAGGGTTGAAAAGAGCTGTCTTAGGCTAAGGCTAGAAACAGTATATTTATTATTATTATTCTCATTAATATTTTTTAAGGAATTGAAAACATTTTGAAATAAGTTTTAGAAATTTTCACCAGAATTTGGTAAGATTATGATCAAATGTTCACTGAGTCCCCACTAGGTGCCATGTACTGTTAGGTATTGGGATACAGAAATCTATAAGAAAGTTCTCATTCTCAAAAAATTAAGTGATGTTGGTGGACACAAGTATAGTGTCAAACCATACTACACTGTAGAAAATATAATAAAGAGTAAAGTGTAGGGTATTACAAGACAAGTGAAGAATGATCTCTAATCTAGCCAGCAGGTGGTAGGAGATTTACTGGAGGAAGAGTAGTGAACAGTTGCCAGCTGCAGGGGGTGGGCTGCTCATTCCAGGCAGAGCCCAAGACCTGGGCACTGACCACAGGCAGGAAGTAGTGCATGTTAGGTACATGGGAGGGCCCACAAGAAGTTGAGGGTTGCTGAAGTGTGGAGTGGGAGGCAGGAAATGGTCACAGGTAAGGCTGGGGAAGTAGGCAGGGCCCAAATCATGAAATTTAAATCAATGGAGCGTTTTAAGAAGGGAAGTGACATGCTCAGAATTATCCTTTAACTAAATCCCTCAAGGGCTTTGTGAAGCATGGACTTGGAGACACAGAGCCATGGGTTTAACTCCTGGCTATAAAGCTTATTAGCTATGTGAACTTTAGCAAGATATAAAACCTTCTAAGTCTCAGTCTTGCCAACTGTAAAATGAGAAGTAAATGAGATAATGAATGTAAAGCACTCGAACATAGTAAATGTTCAATAAATGGCAGCACTTATTATTATTATTATTATTAGCCTAGAAGTTCAGAGACCCATACGGGAGTCCAGATGAGGCATACTGAGACCTTGAATAGGGATAAGAAAACAGGACAATCTGAGATTTAGGAAACAGAATTGACAAAATTTGATAACCAGCAGATTACAGGAGTGTGGGTAACTGAGAAGGAGGCACCAAGGATGAGCTCTAGGTCTAGGAAGGGTGACTGAATGGCTGGTGACTGGTGGTGCCCCCAACTACTGTCGTATTTGGGAGGCAGAACAAGTTTGGGAGTCTGAGTCACACTGAGGAGGAGGTGTGCATTCAGGAATGGGTACCCAGAAAGTCAATGGTTAAGTGTGGAGTGTGGGGTGCAGGTGTGGCTTGGAGTTAGAGAAGCAGGTGTCCTAAGCATCTCATACCACTAGAAGGGAAATAATCACCTACAAAGGGTGTGTTCAGTCAGAAGAGCAATGAGCTAGGTCAGGGAACACACACAATTTAGGGGCGAGGAGAGAAAGAAAAGCCCCAAAGAAAGGAAAGAACCACAGAGGACAAGAAAAGCTAGGAAAGGCTCTTTATAATGAAAGCTAAAGTAGCAGGATCTCACAGAGGAGTCATCAGTGGGGCCCAATGTAGTTCAGAAGTCCAGTGAGTTCCACATGTCCTCGGAATTTAGAAGAAACTGCTGATTTTAGACCAGAGGGTAATTTTAGTAGGACATGAGGACAGAAGCCAGACTATTGGGTTAAGGTATAAATGGGGAGTGCGTAGTAAAAAGAGTCTACCATAAACTTTGTAAACATTTATGAAGAGGAATTATATAGCTATAAGGGAGGAATGTCGGGTCAAAAGTTAGGTTAAAAATTATTTTTAGAATGAGCACTCTCAGCATTTTGTCAGCTGAGAAAGAAAAGGTAGATGACAAAGGGTGATGATGTGGAAGAAAGAATCACTGAAAGAACAAGGTCTTTGAGGAAATAAGAAATTAAAAAAAATATATATGTTTTTATTGATTTGAGAGAGAGGAGAGAGGGAGAGAGAAATAGAAACAGCAATGATGAGAGCCACTGATTGGCTGCCTCCTGCACACCCCCTACTGAGGAGGCAGCCCACAATCTGGGCATGTGCCCTGACGGAACTGAACCGCGACTTCCTGGTTTGCAGGTTGAAGCTCAACCACTGAGCCATGCCGCTCAGGCAAGAAGGAATTTTCAAGCATCTACTGTGTCAGGGGCACCTGCCAACAAACCATCAGAAGAGCATGACACAGATGCTAGTCTGCAGAATGCCTTCCCCAAGAGGAGCGCAGAGGGGCTGACTGTGAGTCCTGAACCCAAGCCAGTGCCTGCTCACCTCTCTTCCCACTGCCCAACACGGTGTCTGGCACCCACCTGCTAGGCATTGAATAATGTTCTTGGTATGAATGAATAAATATTCTTGTCAAAAACTTTATTTCCAGGGGAAGAGATTTTATAAAGAGATATGAGAATATATTCTAAGACAAATAAAGGGAATGTATTATAATATAATGAAATATTAACTATAATAGTAGTATTTGTGCTGAGAAAACATGCATCTACAAGCCTTCTAGGCGGCTGAAGGTTAAGAGAGTTGGGGAGAATGGTGGCACAGGTTTCAATATGTGGAGGAGGCCTGCAGTGGTTCCAGAAGTCTCTCCGTATCTCCCAAACAGCAAGCTTATGCTTAAAATTCATTTAACCACTTAAGAAGGAACAATTTTTTTTCATCTCAAAATTGTAGATAAAGAATTTAAAAGGAAATGTATATGAGATTATACATCAGCTATAACCCATTCACCATAAAATCAAATCAGTCAGACAGGTTCTGGCTCAGAATGGTCTGGGTCCAAGGAAGGTTCCACCATTTTACTGGCTGTGTCACCTGGGCCAGGTCGCTTCACCTTCTCTGGGAAAGCAGATCATGTGATAGATGAGTCCCCAAGTCCCTTTCGAATCAATTGCTCAAAGGTTCTAAAGCAGTGATTCTTAACCTTCTGGGATCACATAATCCTCTGAGAATCTAATGAAAGCTATGAATTCTACCCATCCAGCCCCCAAATAAACATAGAAACATGCATATAAAATTCTGCAAATCATTTGAGAAATCCCTGACTATAGATTTTCTTCCTACTGGGAAAACAGCTAAGGTGCAGCTCTTGATAATGAAGATGCTTTGTGTTCCTTTAAAGTAATGGGTCCAGGCCATAGTGACCCCTGAAAGACCCACGGCGGACAGTTTGCTATGTGTCCACCTAACTGTAAGTTTCCTCATGTCTGAATTCCCCAGTGCCAAGCGTGGTGCCCTGAATATATTAAGAACCCACTTAATTTGTGAATCAGGGCCATAATGGTTTGTATGCAGAGGACTTGAGTTTCCAGACCTTTGGTGCTTCTGAATGAGTACCAACTGCAAATCATCCCTTTGAGAATCAAGCCTGAATGCATAGCAATCACTATGGGCTTACTGTACAGGGTCTGTCAACTTTCCAAAATTGATTTCCATCTAACTAAAGGGGTTTAGCCAGACTAGAAATTATGCCTCGGTTCCACAGCAGAATTTGATGACCCTCCCCTTCCCCCCAAAAGAAAACACACTGTATCTGCTTTTAGCAGAAATTCCTTACATTTGTATAACCCTTTATACTTATAGGTTTCCAATCCCTCTCTCGTATATTAAATATTCATCTGGGGGATAGGCAATATACACAGTACTCCCATTTTAAAGGTAAGAAAAGAGAATATAACACTTCAGCTTTCTATAGCACCAGACATTTTTATAAATATGCTAGTGTTTCTCTGTGAGCTTTGTAACAAGAAGGTAGGATAGGCCTACTTAAATCGACAGTGCAAAATAGCTGTGACATTTAATAAAATGTTCAGTGATAACATCTAAATAGTACTTATGATTTTAGAAACTGAAACCCAGACCAATTTAAGCAATTTTATACATGATAATTAAAGTTTAGTTTTTTTCAATATTCAAAAAGAATCAAATCAGCCTATTACTTATGACTTTAAAAAACAAAAGCAGAATCCACTATACATAGTAAGGGGGATAATTCTATACTTACCTATTGCACAATGTAAAATCTAGAGGGAAAAAAAGGGAGGGAAAGAAAATTAGCAAAGATCAATAATATTACAGTTGCATTTCATATAAACTAGCCTCTCAGTAAGAAAAGAGCAGTGTCTGGCAGCAATATTGAATTTGAAAAAAAAACATTCCATTTTTAAACTTGGATAGGGGCTATTTAACAAAATGTAAATTCTTGTTCAGTTTTTTTTTTGGTTCAGTTTTTGTTTATTTATCTATGGAAGATTTCCTAATAAATCTCACCCAGAAGTCTATTAGATGACAAGGACCTCTTTTATAATATATAAACATATAAGAGCAGTATGTATCCCCATGTCTCACATTCTACAGAACAGAACTGTCATAGATTAAAGAACACGGGGTCAGAAAAGCCTTTGTTGGCTCCTTTTTCCTGGCAGGCCTTTCAACACAAACATTCACTCTACAAAGCTTTGCCCTTTGTTCCTATCTTGTTTCATTTCATGACCTCATTATTGGGATGTTCCAGGTCTAATCTCTAACTACATCTCTTTGAGCTCCAGGCCCACATTCCAAACTGCCTTTGAAATCTCCATCCAGCTCCACCAGCAGCAGTTCAAACATGGTATGCCTCAATGGTAAGCACATACCTCCTAGTCTCTCAGGTTCAACCATTCTTTCCTTCCTCTCACCCCCAAGTCCAACTGATTTCCAAGTCCTCCCAATACTTCCAGCATCTGTCTTTCCTGTTTTTTTGTTTTTTTAATTTCAGTGCCAGGGATGAGACTGCTATCTCTTCATCTCAAGAGCCATCCAATGAGCCAATTCGGTTCTTCTAAATCCCTTCCAATTAATCCTACATATGCCATTGCTTTAACCCTGGTGGTGGTGGTAAAGAAATAATTTGAAGCCACCTACAAGACTGATTTAATGACCAAAGCTTTTCTAAATGATAAGACTTATCAGCTATTATAGTGCATTTTAGAATTACATTTCTCTAGTAGTCTTTGCGTTGTTTGATCCTCACAATTACCCAGCTAGCAGGCAGGACAGATATCTCTACATGCAGATGAGAAAACCAAGGCTCAGAGAGGCCCCACAAGTTGCCCAAGGTAGTGAGTGAGGTCTAGGATCAAGAACTTAGGTTTTATTTCTACTCTACTGATTTTTCTATCATAGTATTTCATTGTACATTAGTTTTATTATCTACAAAGGCCACAATTTGAAAAGACTTAGCTTATCTAAAATGTGCTTGATAAGACTGCTCAAAAACAATTACACAGTCCCCCCTTATCCATGGTTTCAATTACTCATGGTCAACTGCAGTCTTAAAGTATTAAAAGGAAAATTCCAGAAGTAATTCATAAGTTTTAAATTGTGCACTGTTCAGAGCAGTGTGATGAAATCTCTCACTGTCCCACTTGGTTTTGCCCAGGCCATGAGTCATTCCTTTGTCTGGCATCACCACACTGTAGTATACGTTATCTGCCATTAATCACTTAGTAGCCATCTGGGCTATCAGATCAACTATTGTGGTATCGAAGTGCTTGGATTCAAGTAACCCTTATTTTACTTAATAATGGTTCCAAAGCATAAGAGTAGTGATGTTGGGAATTCAAATATACCAAAGAGAAGCCATAAAGTGCTTCCTTTATATGAAAAGGCATGTAAATACAGGAAAAAACAGACTATATAGGGTTTGGTACTAACTTCAGTTTCAGGCATCTACTAGGGATCATTACCTGTGGATAGGCCGGGGACTACAGTATTTCACTAAGTTGTTTTTTTGGGAGTAGGGGGGAGCTTAGATTAAAAAATCAGGCTGCACAAATTTGTTGATAACTGATAAGAGAAAAGAATATACTGCAAATCTTATAATCTTTTCCAAAAGAAAACACTGCCAAGAATCTCAAAGTATGAATATTACGAGACAAGCTGAACCTCCTGCTATGAAGTTGAAGAAAATGAATAGATATATGTAGATTATTAAAACAAGGAATGGAAGACATGAATAAAATGCATGCTTGAAAACCTATTCTATCCATGTATACGGCAAGACATCCGGGCTGCTGATTAACAATAGGACATTGCAAGAAAGGATATATAGAGTGCTTAAGGGCTACGGCATTTTCTTTACGTGATGGAACAGTGGATATTAGTCCTATTAGACCCAAACTTCCCTTTTTAATCACATATTTTATAATGCCTCCTTTACTAGTGCAATTCATAGATGATGCAACCTAACTACACAAAAGTTTTCAAAAAAAATGTTCTAACTGATATGTAAAGAAGAAATAAAAAAAGAAATTTATTTTAAAAAATATGTATTTCAGGCTCTGGCCAGTTTTGCCCAGTGGTTATAGCATCTGGCAGTGCACTAAAGGGTTGCTGGCTTGATTCCTAGTCAAGGGCATGTATGTACCTGGGTTGCAGGATCGATCCCCACCCTGGCCGGGGTGCGTAAGGGAGGCAACCAATACATGTGTCTCTCTCCCATTGATCTCTCTCTCCCCACTCCAACCTCCCTCCCTCCCTCCCATTCTCTTTAAAAATCAATGGAAAAAAATATCCTCGGGTGAGGATTAACCAAAAATAAGAATAAAAGAATATATGTATATGTATTTCAGTATATACATATTTGGGGACAATATATGACATAATGAAGCAGTCAGATGTATATACCAACTTACAATAAATATGTGTGAATTTAAAAATAAGAATATCAGAAACCACTTTGCAAAAGTATAAGAAAACATCCCTGGTTGGGTAGCTCAGCTGGCTGGAGTGCTGTCCCTATATGCCAAAGTTGCAGGTTTGATCCCGTCAGGGCACATATCACCCAATGGATGCATGGATAAGTGGAACAACAAATCAATGTTTCTCTCTCTCTCTCTCCCCGTCCCCTTCCTCTCTCTCCAATCAATAAATAAAGTTATTTTATTTTATTTTTTTAAAGGTGATTTTTTTTTTTTTAAATATATCTTTATTGATTTCAGAGAGAGGAAAGGAGAGGGAGAGAGATAGAAACATCACTGATGAGAGAGTCATTGGTCGGCTGCAGCCCGCAACCTGGGCATGTGCCCTGACCGGGAATCGAACCCTGATCGCTTGGATCCTAGGTAGTCGCTCAACTGCTGAGCCACGCCCGGTCAGGCAATAAAGTTTTTTTAAAAAGAGAAATAATAATGAAAATAGGGAAGTAATCGTAAGTGGAATAACATGTCCCAAGGTAAAGCAGAGAAAGTCAAAGCAGAGAAAATGAGGAAGTACAATATTACTGCAAATCAGCTAGGTCTTATTTATTTTGTAAGTATGGTATCAAAATAATCCCCTATGTTATTCACAGGATGGGGTAAGAAGCAACTATCACTGAAAACATCCTTCTGCCTTGAAATCCTGCTGAGACATACAAATCTGTCTTTTGTTTGTAAAAAGACGTTGGAGACCATTTTCTTTGATTGGTTTCAGAAGGAACAGAAGATGGATTAGGAAAAAAATAGTAACATAAGAGGCAATAAAAGCAGTTTGTAATAGATTGGGGATAGCTTTAGAATAAATCATAAAAAGTACAGTGACAGCGATTCCCCCAAAAGGCAGTAATAGGAAATATTATTAAGATAGTCCATATTAAAGAAATCCAGTAAGAGTCCTGCATGTCATGTCTCCACCAACTTAATAACTAAAGTCTGAACAGGAACCTCCAATCTCCTGTTACATATTTTCAATGTTTCATTGCTTTTGCAATAACTACACTATTGCACTGAAATCCTTTTCAACTAAATGTGCAAGCTGGAAATGCTATAATACCTACCGAACAGAATGTGCCGAATGAACAAATTACTCAATTACTTTGAAATGATATCTTTATTTCACTCAGGTTCCCTCTTCATACCAACTCTGTTAGGCAGAATTCTAACAATAATTCCCCCCCAAACTCCTGTTCCTTGGTTATGCAATTAAACACTAATCTAGGTACGGCAGTATAGGGATTTTGCAAATGTAATTGAAGTCCCAAGTCAACTGATTTCAAGTTATGGAGATTATATGGGTAGGCCTGACTCCACCATGTGATCCCTTTGAAAGCAGAGTTTTCTCCAGCTGGTGGCAGGAGGGGAAGTCAAAGATATTCAGAGAACAAGGATTCTGTGAGCCATTGCTGGCTTCCAAGATGGAAGCGGCCATATGGAAAGACTAGAATGCAGCCTCTAGGAGCTAGGAGTGACCTCTAGCTGACAGCCAGCAAGGAAATGGGGACTTCAGACTTATGACCACAAGGGACAGGATTCTGCCAATAAGCTAAATGAACTGAGAAGCAGATTCTTCCCAAAGACACCAGAGTCAGCCTGGCTGACACCTTGATTTCCGTTTTATAAGACCCAGGGCAGAGAACCCAGCCTTCTGATTTACAGAACCATGAGCTAATAATAAATGAGTGTTGTTTTAAGTTGCTAAGTTTGCGGTATTTTGTTATGCAGCAATAGAAAGCTAAAACAACCATCTTCTAAATTAATAAGCTTTTTGTTTAATTTCTCGTGAAGATGTTTTAGTATGAACAGTACTATAAAACTATCAATTTATATTTGCAGAGGGGTTAGTCTAGGGGGAATATACTAAGTCAGGGGGATGCAGAACAAATCTTCACTGAGTCAGGCTGTCTTAGACATTGTAGGACATCTAGTCAGCAGCACCCCTATCCTTTGTGGAAATCAAAACGCCCACAATTTTTCAATGTGCACTCTGGGGTTGGGACTGCTCTTGCTGAGATCCACTAAGAATCAATGAATTGAAATAAGCATATTTCATTTGAAAAAACTTCGACTTGCCATATTCAAATTCTCTTTTGAAATTGTGTAGTTAACAGCTCTCTCCTCTTGAAACCTTACATTTCACCTATTGGCAATAAGCTCATTTTAGATTTGAAATTTAACCTCAATGTTTAATGCCATTTTCCACAACAGGTTACTATGGAACATTTTTTCTTTTTTCTTTTTTTTACACTAAGGAAATAATTTTTTGTAAGCTACTAACGAATTTGTTC